TTCTTTTGTCCATCACGTCATGGTATGTCACTTTTTAATTGACCTTGACTTAAGACACTTAAGCAGCAGAATTCATTGTGGGCAACCATCTTACAACATGTTCTCGGTTACAGGAGAATCGCCTTGACTTGATAGAGACGGGAGCGGACGATACACTTAACAGTCATCTTCTTGTCTTCGCTGCAGAGAAAGCTCGTTTTGTGACCATAAATCCAGATGGAACATTTTAGGAATTGGGTAAAAATCAAACTGCCGTGAAGGATATGTTTTTATCCTCAGGCTGAAGGTCCTTTTCTATTGTTGTATTAATCAGGGACTATACACACAGATTCCTCTGGGTGTGTAAAAATCACTGAATCACAGCTTGTACAAGATTTGGTGTACCTGTTGTTCACCCAGCAGTGATTGGGCACTCAGGAACCATTGGGACAAACTAATTCATATCCTTTGGTGGAAGGTTGAGTGTTTTTTTGTTTTTTTTTAAATCTTCCAAATAGAAAAGAATCTCATTAGAATCAGATATTAATTAGTGCTCACTACTGCAACACAAAGATCTGAGTACATCCCATTACAGGTGATGACAGAGCAATCTTTCATCTGGCCAAGAGCGTCGCTTTTGAGATCAGGACAACGAAAGTCCTAATGTGTTTTCTAATCATGCAACCTCGAAAGGGTTTTGGTCATTCCGAACGACAGTAGGACAATCAAAGAGACTTTTCATTGCCCGTGGGAAGTAAAGTCATACCATCTAAACCATCTATTAGACATTTCAGAATTTTCTTAGATATTCAGTTTTCAAAGTTGGAATCTAGAACTCTATGAAAATATTTTAGTATGGAATGGAAGTCGCCTTTTTGAAACTAGTGCCTTAACGTTAAACAAGGTACTTTCTGATTGGCTACTGTCGACTTCATCTTAGCATGTTTAGTCATTTCATTGGTCGTCAAAGCTCATGACAGGCTGTTCTGGCGAGACCTGTAATGTGATGTCCCCAGATCTTTGTGTGGGGTTAGCAAACTCTATGGCACACTGCATTAAGGGGATAAAACAAGGAGTTGGTATACTGTGTCTGAGTAGGGTATCCATGTTGAACTGCAGCATTGTATCTCAGTAGGGTAACACAATAAAACTGGCTTAAGTCTGGACTTGTACAAACAAAGCTATGAATATAAAGCTGTTATAAGCTACGATTTACACCTTCATAACATGCAACTAAAGTCTGCTGCTGATTTTGACCAGCCTTCACAAGCTCCCATCAGAGTGCAAAGTAATGGAATGTGGAAATTTGGATGTACCCCCTGGTACTGCATTTCATAAAGACAAAATATGATTTAGAAAAACTGTGGTTGCTTGGTCATTTGGACCTTCTGATCATCTTTTTTTTCAATTAATCTAAATACATCTGTCCTCAAGTACTGAAATAATGTTCACATGTATCAAAATTATTCATTACTGGCAGGAGAATTAGCTTGTCTGATATCAAACAATATAGTTGAGGAGATATTAATTTGCAGATCACCCATTGGTTGATTGACATAGGCGTAACACGTAAATGAACATAATTATGTAAAATATTTAGCTGGAGATTTCCCATTTATGTCCTGCTGACCCATACAATAGAAAGGCTGCAAAATTTCAGTGAGTGAATTGGGTTTAGCGCCGTTTTGAGAGGAAAACCCGAAGTGAGGCAGGTCTGAGAAACTTCGGTGAAACTACTAACTTCGGTGAAACCCCAGAGCATCATGGGTATGGTGTTTGTGAACCTAGAAATATAGTTTGGGCAAATGGGGAACCCACAATCATAGGTTTCTGGCGTGCCCAAGGGATGCAACTCTGCATAATGAAGATGGATATTGCCAGATGATTTCAGTATCCACTTGTGTTGATAGATATTAAAAAAAAAACACTTCAGAGTGTTGGCTAAAATCTGTATGCATTTAGTTTTGGTCACATTTGGGTATGGTGTGTGTTCTGTAATAACATGTGTATTAGGGCAGGGACGGGTGACTCGGGTACTCGGGTCGGGTGGGTACTGAGTAGGACCCGGGTATTTCTTTCTGACGATGCACACATTCTTTTGGACTTGTATATGTTAAAGTAAAGATAAAGCTTCAGACAACTTCAGTGAACACATGATCTGATTGTTTGATACATGTACAATGTATCTAAATAGTTTCAGCCCAAGCTTCAGTCAACTTCAGTGAACACATGATCTGATTGTTTGATACATGTACAATGTATCTAAATAGTTTCAGCCCAAGCTTCAGTCAACTTCAGTGAACACATGATCTGATTGTTTGATACATGTACAATGTATCTAAATAGTTTCAGCCCAAGCTTCAGTCAACTTCAGTGAACACATGATCTGATTGTTTGATACATGTACAATGTATCTAAATAGTTTCAGCCCAAGCTTCAGTCAACTTCAGTGAACACATGATCTGATTGTTTGATACATGTACAATGTATCTAAATAGTTTTAGCCCAGGCTGCGATAAAACAATTACCAATCAGACATTTTGTTCCCAACTCTTGAGACTTGCAGTGGGTACCTGGGTTGGGTCAGGTAATAGGGGGTTGGGTACCCGGGTAATAAATTTGGACTCGTTCCAGCCCTTATGTGTATTACAACAAATGGATTTACATGTTTGAACAGAAGGGCTGGTGATGATACCTTGATTATAAACACTGTTTATTTACTTGAAAAACCTACTTGACTTTATATAGGAATCAGTATTGAATGTTTAAAGAGTATCACAATATTTTACAATGCACAAGGCTGTATTGCTATACGTATAACCATATATTGCATAATTCAAAGTTTTGAATTCCGAAACAATTTGTAACATCAATGTAGGAATTGAAGTTCATAAATGGAACAAAACAAAATGCTGGAACAACATAATGTTTACTCATTCAATAAATAATCAAGGATGGACGCTCCGGGACAGTGATGACTTTGTGTACACCTCTGCCACAGAAGAACCCCAGAATCCGAACTTGCATTTTGGAATTACGTAAACATTTCAAAGGTACATGTATTTGGCAAGTGTTTAACATGAAACACATTATAAAAATCGCTATCTGAAATCACCCAATATACCAAACATTAAAACTTGATATTGTGATACCTATCATGGAAAAAAAGAACCTCATTTTACCGATATACCGGTAATACTGCACACCTTTAGTTGTATATGATATATTCTCATTGTGGTAATAAATATATTACATGTATCTTGGTATGTTCATGGCTGTCGGGGCGGTCGGGTAGCCTAGTGGTTAAAGCGTTCGCTCGTCACGCCGAAGACCCGGGTTCGATCCCCGACATGGGTACAATGTGTGAAGCCCATTTGTGGTGTCCCCCGCCGTGATATTGCTGGAATATTGCTAAAATCGGCGTAAAACCATACTCACTTCATGGCTGTTGATATATTGTAGTAACATTTTTGAGTGAGTTGATTCAAGGCTGTCTCATGTCAGCTGAATATAGCAGGAAACCCGAAGTGATGCAGGTCTCAGACGTTTACCACTTCGGTGAAACCCATGAGCACGGGTATGGTGCTGACAAACCTAGAAACATAATCGGGGCGAACCGGGATTCGAACCCACAATCATAGGCTTCTGGCATGCCCAAGGGACGCAACTCTGCACAGCGACCAAGGTTTTGAATAAGTGTGCCAGAAACCTATGATTGCGGGTTCGAATCCCGGTTCGCCCCGATTATGTTTCTAGGTTTGTCAGCACCGTACCCGTGCTCGTGGGTTTCACCGAAGTGGTAAACGTCTGAGACCTGCATCACTTCCGGTTTTCCTCCCACATTAAGCTGACACGCAGCGATATAACTGGAATACTGTTAAAAGCGGCGTTAAACCAAACTCACTCAAAACCTTGGTATTCGAAATTTGTTGCTTGTGAGCATTCACATATTGTCTAATAGAAGGTTTAAGATTAGAATACGGAAAGTCTGTTTGAACTTATTGAGAGCGGCTTTTGCCGAAGCATCTGGTCCATAGTTGCCACTGATGCCAACATGACTGGGTAACCAACAAAATCTTTTTCAGCTAAAGACAAATTAAGACGACACCGTAAAATTTCTTTTAAAAATGGATGATCCGATTTTCGATTTTTGATTGCCTGTAAACAGGACAAACTATGATTGGTTGGTTGGTTGGTTGTTTAACGCCGCACTCAGCAATATTCCAGCAAAAATGACGGCGGTCTGTAAATAATCAAGTCTGGAACCATGAAGTTCAATCCGCCAAGTAGATCACAATGTTCTTGTATTTGAACCACGCACCAGACAATCCTTGAACAGTTTTTCAGTCCAAAATAAGAGTGAAGAAAATGTTTTTATTCGGACATGAAATATTACAAAACTGGTATTTCTAGTTAGGTCAATGATTATTATTATAATAACCACCTTTCGTCGATTGAGTTTGTGTTTAATGTAAAATAGTTGTGAACAACCGCCTGCAAAATGATGGTTGACGGACTATAACATATGGCAGCTAAAAACCGAAAGATTCTAAAAGTCAATTACACGACGTAATTAAGATATGAGATTCATATTTTGTTTTCTTTTTATACATTATGTTAATAGATCAGCTAGGTGTTTTTAATACAGCTGGTTCTCCTGGTTTCATAAAGTGTTAATTGTAAATAATCATTCCTAACATCTGAGTGAGTGAGTGAGTTGGGTTTAACGCCGCTTTTAACATTATTCCAGTTATATCACGGACGGCGTGTCAGCTTAATGTGGGAGGAAAGTGATGCAGGTCTCAGACGTTTTCACTTCGGTGAAACCCACGAGCACGGGTATGGTGCTGACAAACCTAGAAACAATCGGGGCGAACCTGGATTCGAACCCAAAATCATAGGTTTCTGGCATGCCCAAGGTACGCAACTCTGCACAGCGAATCGCGGCGCTTAGAGGACTGGGCCACCCGTGCCCCCCCCCCCCCCCACCCCACCCCCCCCCCCCCCCCCCCCCCCCCACTAATATCTGAGGCCTATATCCAAAGAAAGGCAACATCTTAAATCCGACTATAGTCACAATAGCAAATGTTAGTCATCTTCGATTATATTTTGATTACGATATTTACAAATACGCTGATGTAAGGGATTAATTGGTATAGAGTATCCACCAATTTCAGTCTCTGGAGGGAGTGTTCCTGGCCGTAACACAACTAGAATACTTCTTTGATTTCTTCGTAAAATGGTTCGACCTTGAGAGCAATTTAAATTGTCTATACGTTATCAGTTTATTACCAATCACTTACCTTCTATCATTCCAGAGTCACCTCAACCATGAATCATTACCTGATATAACTAATTTACCCCTCACAGCTTTAAAATCTACCGATGAAATGTCAAAGACATCTAGTTTAGGAAGCTGTAAACTTTCACATAATTTGATGAAACGACTGTCCCATGATTTACGACATCTACGAGACCAACATTTTATTACGATAAGAGAGAGCAGAATTAAGCCGTTTCCAGCAGCGGATAGTTTCGAATTTGTGCTCAGTTTCACAAGAGAGCCAGCGGAGGGGACTGACCTCAGCCTTAGCTGAATGCACTCAAGAGTGAATGTTTAAAGGATTGTTGTCAGCCTGCTCCACCGGCCCTAAAGTATATCGCTAGTAACAAATATCCTTCTTTAGCCATTTCACATGATCATGGTAATAATTTGAATATTTATCCAAATTATGAAGTTTTGTACACCTATCGCAAAATGAAGAGTGAATATTTTCTCCGTTCGGTGAATATCTGGCCTTTTCCCTCAATATCTCGGTATAAGCCGTGATATTCTGTTCCAGATATTTCAGATAGTTTGCAAGTTTTCCTGGACTTGAAAAGTCTGCAGCATTGATGTATGTTCCGTTCGGTACAAGAGAACCATAGTCAGCCCCCCCTCGAACAACAGGAACGATATTGTAGTTATATGTTTTGAAAAGTTTTTCTGTAATATAGTCGATACAAAGAGAATTTTCAAAGGACAAATAAAACCTATATTGATTTTCATATAAATGGCCACAATTTCTAGAACATTTGAAGGGCCCACATCGTCCATAAATGTCAACCGTGATGTACTTGGCAAGTTCCAGTACGTAAGATTCACGTTTGGAAGAGGTTTTGCAGTGGCTCACAAACCAAAGAACCGATTTAGTTTTATTCAACGCAACCTTTGTGAAATTAGTTTGTGATGCCTTCTTCCTCCGCTGTAGTGTGTTATACGGCAGCACGATGTCAGAGTCCAGACGGTACGTCATGGTCCAGTTAAATGCCTGACGCCATTGGGGTCGCAGGTAGTAGTTATTGTGATAGTGAACAGGAGACTCTAGGCCAAACATAATCCACATTTGATCAGCTCGCCGTATACTTGTTGGTGGTGTAGCATCCTTGAGGTCAACAGCGTCGATGATGACAGCATCTGCTTTAGCAATGTCTTCAGGATCATTCGAACATGTGCAGGCTTTCCGTGGACAGTCTTGGATACCCTGTATACACTGATTCACACCGAACCAATGTGGACGATTGTAAAACAAAATTAGTTTTGATTCGTTACCGCTCGTGTCGATATCATCGAGGGAATAATTGTCATACGTGAAGCGTTTTCTGAATCTACCGTTCGGTGTGGACGAAACTGGTCTATGGAAGTATGGAATGGTCTTTGAGGCGGGAAAAACAAGTTTGAAAGTCGTTTGCACATCTGCTTCAGGATTTCGTGTTGATACATTACGAGGGTAAAACATTTGTGGATGCTTAGGATTAATTCCTGTGAAGTTGAAGACATCCGCCCTTTGCAGGGCAGACCACAAAGACGTTTGTTGATCCACAGAGATGAAGAACACACCAAAGATCACTGCAACGATGAGAAAGGCCATGCAATACATCAAGTATCGCGGCTGTGCATGAAGCTGTAACATGAAAGGTTATGGAAAAGTAAGATGAGTTCAATGCTTTGAAAAAGTGTATGTGGGTGTGTGTATGTTTGAGTGCATGTTTGAATGTGTGTGTGTATGTATGTGAGTGTCAGTGTATGTTTGAGTGTGTATGTGAGTGTGGGAATGTGTGTGTGAGTGTGTGTAAGTTTGTGAGTGTATGTTTGAGTGATTGTGTATGTGTCTGTGAGTGTGAGAATGTGTATGTATGTGTGTGTCAGTGTATATTTGAGTGCGTGAGTGTGAGAATGTGTGTGTAAGTGTGTGAGTGTATATTTGAGTGTGTGAGTGTATGTGAGTGTGAGAATGTGTGTGTGTGTGAGTGTGTGTGTAAATGAGTGTATGAATGAATGAATGAATGATCTTTATTTCCTCCATTAATTTCGGAGAGTGATATACATTTGGAATCATGTTAACACAGCATATTTACACGAACAGTATGCAGAGAAATTGGCAATATGAGTGTATGTGTGTATGTTTTAGTGTATGTGTATGAGAATGTGTATGTATATGTGTGTCAGTGTATATTTGAGTGTGTGTGTATGTGAGTGAGAATGTGTTTGTGTGTGTGTGTTTAAGTGAGTGTATGTTTGAGTGTTTGTGTATGTATATGTGAGTGTGAGAATGTGTGAGTGTGTGTGATGTTTAACTCTACACTCAGCAGTATAGAAGCTGCATGAAGGTGGCCAGTAAACAGTCGTTTCTGAGCCAGGCAAACCAGTGATTGATATTATGAGCAACGGTCAAAGCTGTCGGAGTACGATGACACATCATCAGCCAAGTAACAGAGCCTCACCACACAATCAACGTAGTAAGACGTGTTTGTCCGGAACCCACTTTGCCTGGACGTGTTATTCCGACATCCCCCTTTCTCTGGACCTGTTTGTCCGGTACCCCCTTTAGTTCGGAACTGTTGTTCCTGAAACACTCTTAGTCTATACCTGTTAGACTGGAAATCCCTTTAGTTTGGACCTGCTAGTCCTGAAAACCCCTCAGTGGGCCTGTTGGTCCGAAACCCATTAGTCTGGGCCTGTTAGTCCTGAAACCCCCTCAGTTTTGGACCTCTTAGTCCGGAACTCCCTTTGGGGTTAGAATTGGACCCAGCATACCTATCCTAATCGTAAGTGGCGACTACGTTGATTGTAACTTCGTTCAGTGGCATTTAGAAGTTGGTGTGATGAAGTAAGACAAGTTCTATGGATGAACAACTTCTTTATTACAATTAGTGCGACGTTTCGGTGTAGATCCGAACACCTTTATCAAGCAAGTGATGGATAGTGCTACTTACTTACTTACTTACTTTGGAGATTTAACGTGCGCTTTCCGACTGATGCGTATTTCGCACACGGGCCCGGCCAGGCCATTTAATGTGTTTCCGAAAGGGGCGAAAGTGGTCTGTGCAACCCAAGAGGGGGGTTTAGGGGTTGCTTATTTAAAATTTGGGAATTTTGAGATTTGGAATAGATGCAGATGGGGTTGGGGAAGAGAACTAAGGGAGCTGGGAATGGTGGATGTTTGTTTGTTTATGTGATTTTGATTTGGTAGGTTATTGTGTTTTTAGATGCGTTTTATTAGTTCCTTTTTTATTAAGAATACGCCTAAGGCCTTGAAGTTTTCTAGTTTATTTTGTGGGTTTAGTATTGCTTCTAGAGTGAGAGCCTTGTTTAGATTGAGGGTGGTTTGTAATGCGGTTCGATGTGTTAGGTAGTGTGTGCAGTGGATGAGTGCGTGTTCTAGGGTTTCTGGTTGTTTGCAGTGTGGGCAGTTACCTGTAAAAGTGTGTTTTTTAAATTTTTTTTAGGTGGTTATTTAGGTTGGTGTGTCCTGTTTGGAGTTTAGTGATTACTCTGTCGATTTGTGATGGATGGGGAATTTTTGGTTTGGTTAGTGGTTTGCTGAGCACTTTTTTGATTTGGCGATTTGAGTTTAGATATAGGTTATGCCATTTTTTGGTGAATTTTTGTTTGTTTACACTTTTAATTTCTGATAGTGCTAAACAACATAGGTATATATACTTATGTACATCAATGTTTATACAGTAAATTGATTGATGGACACAGAGAGCTGATAAGATAATTGGAAGGCAGTAGATGACTAATGGACACAGAGTCAGCAAGCAGACTGGTAGAGATGATTGGAAGCCAGTGGATTAATTGGATGGACATAGGGATTTAGCAATTAGGTGATGGTAAGCAGGCGGGACCTTGATCTCTGTTCATTGCTGGCTGGATCCTTTGGAAAAGGATCAATCGTCTTGACCCAAATGGAACGCCCAGAGTTGTCCTAGCTTGGTCTCTTGGATACAGGAAAGGATGGGCAAACACAGTGATTACTCTGCTTCAAAGACTGAACTTGAATATTCAGGATATACACAACATGAACGAATTTGAATTCAACTGTGTCAAATCGAAGTTGTTGGAACTTGACAAAGAAAAGTGGCTTACAAGTCTCCATGATGACAGTGGACAGAGTAATGGAAACAAGTTACGGACGTATAGGATTTTCAAGACATACCTGACAACAGAAACCTATGTAAACAAGATAATGCCAAGATCACACAGAAGTATCCTAGCTAAGTTTCGCTGTGGAACTCTCCCTCTAGAAATAGAGACCGGTAGAATATGTAGGCCATCTGTACCGCTGCAAAGTAGAGTCTGTAAATTCTGTCACCATTCATGTGTCGAGGACGAAATGCACTTCCTTTTAAAATGCCCCTTTTATTCTGATTTTAGAATCTTACTGCTCGAAAAAGCAAATCTGGCCAACGCGACCGTACATGATGTAGATAAACTTATGCTCTTGATGAATAACCCACATATACAAAGTGTTTTAGCTACAACAATTCTAAAAATGTTTCGCAGGAGGACGCAGACTAAAGACGTGCTTGTCTGAGATGTAAAGTCACTTTCCCTGAAAAGTAACGGTCCTCATATTATTGGATCAATTATTTCATTGGAAAAGAGTTTAAAGATGTAAAGGTTGGCGTTATCACTCGTTATATTTGCTCACATTATTTTCTAAATTGAGAATTTAAAGACTAATAAGGTTACACAATGGCAACAGTCTAAACTATGTCTGCTGAAAGTATGATTTGTTATGCTCAATAGAAGATACTCTCTAATATTAACAGCTTGCAAGTATGTGCTAATCAAAGGGTTAAACAATGTCGGTGTTAACTTGCAGGTAAAGAAGTGTTTGTCGGTCACACTACTTGTTATATTGTATCACAAAATCTAGTCAACTGTGATCACACAGGAAATAGTTTGAAGAGGTATTTGGCGGAGTTATCACTTGTTATTCTTGCTTACAGTATTTTCTCAGATGAGAAATTAAAGACTAAATGAGGTTACACATCGACAACAGTCTAAAACTTTGTCTTTTGAAATTATCCTTTGGTATTCTTACTAGAAGGTATTCCCTAACATTTAAAACTTGCACGTATGTACTAATCAAGTGGTCTAATCATACTGGTGTTAACATACACATAAATAGGTGTTTTGATGGTTATTTTTCTTATTATTTTGTACTAAAAATAGTCAGCCATTTGGTAAACTGCGATCTTAATATGCACATATAATGTTAAAATATGGCGTCCAACAAAATTGACAGTTATGTATATGTTATTTGCACGTGACATCTTAATCTCTCTCTCTCTCTCTCTCTCTCTCTCTCTCTCTCTCATTGGCAGCAATTCACCCGAGGGGTAAAAAGAGTAAAGCCTAGAGAAACAGCCGAAGACCTAGAACTCTACACCCAAAAAGCAAACACAAATCAATACTTAAACCCTCAACCCCAAATAACCAGCAGGAAAACCTCAAACAGAAACGGCAAAACGGTCCCTACCTCAATCGTTATTGTAAACTTAAAAAAAACGTGCTAAATTTCCTGAAGCCCATAAACACATCTCTTTCGGTGCCCACACTAAACTAGAAGTTAAACCATACACCAAACAGGTCAAACAATGTTCTAACTGCCTTAGATATAACCAAACGGTTAAAAAAAACTAAATGTAAAAGATGCGCCCAAACCGATTGCCCAGGCACATGCCCTCCCTGGTGCATCCATTGCAAATGCATAAAACATACATCACTCTCAAACCAGTGCCCGCACAGACATGCCCTAACACAACAGGCCAACAAACACATAAACATAGATTCGGGCAAAATCCAAACAAGAAAATATGCACCACCTACATCCAAACCTCTCCTCCCCACACCACACTCAAACACCACACACAAACTCCCGGATTCTGTCTGGGGCAACCACATAGAAACCGCACCCACCACATCCACACATCACCTCACACAGCTACCTACCAAATCCCCCATAACATCAACAACCGCATGCAAAGCAAACAGCAAAACCACAGACACACAACGACCCTCAGCCAGACACTCTACAGCCCCCAAGGCAACAACACTTCCCCACAAGCAAGCACAACAAAAAACACAAACACTGAGGAAACCACAGCTACACCCAACACGCAAGCACAAACTCAACCCTCCACACCACAAACACCTCCACAATGGAAAATCAAACAATAAAAAACAACCTAAACGACGAAGACGAGTATTCTTCCACCGAGGAAATAAATGAAATAACCTTCTCACCCCCTAAAACAAACAAAAACTTCAAGCGCAAAACTCCTCAATTAACTGGCACTAAAACTCTAAATAACCTCACACTACTCCTAGCCTACATGCATAAGCAAAGCTCACCGAATGCTAGCACTACAGCTTTTCACTCAGTAGCGCAAAAACTTAAACTCACAACTCTCTCCTTCGAGTTATTTCTCTTCCAACTAAGGAAAGCCACCAATTAAACACAACCTAAAACTCAAAAGGAACTAACAACCTCTCAGCCCCCAAAATGGAAGGACTAAATATACTGAACCAAATTAAAAACTTCACAATCCTAGAATTTTAACATTTTGACCAGTTATCATTGTGGGCTCTTATTGTGTATTTAAAAAGTAA